AGGGCACCGTGTAGCTGTTAAAAGCCGTGGGATCCCACAGGCAGAGCATGTCCGCTGCCCGCTGCAGCCCCCATCCCTGCCCACTCCTAACAGTTGTGGAGGAAGATACTCTGTGCAGGTTGGAGGTCGGCCGGGCATCCCGGCGGCTGTGGGTGGCTTGGGGGTGTTGAACATGGGGATGGTGGCCGTCGTTGTTTTCACAAGACAGGTCCTGGCACTTCGCTTCCCATCACGCCGCGTCCCCTCAAGCCCCGTGGTGAGGGTGCTCCTGTCGAGAGGGAGCTGCGCACCCTGGGGCCAGGGCTCTGGAGGGGGCAATGCTTCTCCCCCTGTGGCACCCAGCGGGGCCCGCAGGCGGCTGCACACCTGGCCATCTCCCGGGGCAAGTGTCACAGCCTGGGTCACAGCCCACCTCTATGGTTGGGGCACATTAGCGGTGTTCGACCCCCTTGCTCCTGGCCATCTTTCATGATCTGCAGGGTGCCTGGGTCGGGTGGGCAGCGCCTGAATCTCCCTGGTGGGCCACCAGCCCTTGTGTTCCCCTGTGTCCGGCACCACTGGGGTCTGAGTGACCCTGTGGAGCCAAGACGTGTGAGTGGAGGTGCTGCCTCTGCCCTGCTGCAGGGACTGGGGAGTAGAAGGCAGGCGAGGGTTGGTGTGGTGCCTCAGCACCTGGACAGCCCAGCATGGTTCCAACTGTCATCTCTGGGTGGTGCCACCTTCAGTGTCCCTGCTCATCCCAGAGGAGGGGAGCCGGAGATCTCAGGCAGCGCTTTGGGAAGGTGAATGCCATGCCTGCTCTGGTCCTCTGTGTGGGAGACCTCCCGGCACCACCAGGGAGCAGCTGGAAAACGCGTCTCACTGCCGCGGTGGTGCTGGCAGCTTCCAGCTGGGGGTCAGGGTCTCTCTCCTGCTGCGGGGGGATTTCAGACTGCAGGGCTCTCCAGCCAGCATCATTAACTGCACTAATTACTTGGCTGATGGAAGAAGGGCTGGAGGGGGGGTTGGTGGTGACAGCTGTGTTCCAGCTCAGCTCCTCTGGGCACTTGCCGAGTCCCACATCTATCCCTCAGGGTGTCATTAAGGCAATTAAAATGGGAAGTGTTAACAGCACTAGCGGCTGTTTTCCGGGTTCTGGCGGCTTCCCTTCCTCTTCCCAGTGGCTTCTTTTGCTCCCGCCTCAGCTGCGGAGCTTGGCAGGGTGAGTTTAATATCTCCGATTTTGAGTCTGGGTAGTTGGCTGGTCTCCAGCTGTGCCCCCAGGCTTGTCAGGGCGAGCTGCCCCCCACTGCAGTGGGGCAGGATCCCAGCCTGCCCCTTGGGCAGCGGGAAGGCAGGGCTGCCCATGACAGATACCGGGAGGCAGCCGGTGCTTCCCCTGGGACCGGAGCCGCCGTCTCCCTGCCCGCAGATCGCTTGCCTTCAGGAGAGGTGAGGAGGAGGAGGAGGGCTTTGCCTGAGATGCTTTGCTGCAGGCACGGTACGAACTGCAGTGCTGCCATCGCAGTTGTTTCTCTGTGCAGATATCTCAAGCCTCTGGGAGATTCATCCCCCAGGCTGGTGCTTGGGGCTTGCTTACTCCCCTCCCGGTGTACGAGAGGTTCAGAAAAGCCACTTGGACAGCACGCCGTTTATCGCGGTGCTTGACCACAGCCCACATTAGCCTGCGGTGGGTCGATGAGCATGGTGTCCCCAGGGCAGCTGTCCCTTCCCCGACAGCCGGCGTGTCCCTGGCTGCGTGTCCAGCAGCTGCGGTTGCTTCTAGCCCTGCAGGCAGGCAGAAGCCCTATAATGTCCCTCCTTCTCGGGGTGTGGGGCATTCATCCCCAGATAAATGCTGGTTCAATGTTTCTTCCATCGGTCCCAGTCTGTCCGCTGCCGCAGGCACCAAGCGGGGCTGCGGCTGCTTGGACCCAAGCGCGGGAGCTGGGGGCTATGGGAAATGTCTCAGGCTTGAGGCAGCGTCCCTGTATTTCTGAGACTGCCGCGTGCTGGTAGGCCCCCCCCAGCCGCTGACACAGACCTGATCCCGTTCCCAGCCTGGCTTTGGATCACTTTTCCCTGGCTTTGTCCCAGGGCTGCTGTCCGTGCTCAGCTCTTGCACCGGGAGCAGTGCTTACCTGCCATTGCCGTGCGTGTGCCTGTGTCCTGGGGAGGGGTGGGTTGGGGGTCGCCCTGTGGAGTGTAGAAGCAGCTCTGCGCTATTTTTGCTTGGCTGTAGTTGGATCCTGCCCCACGCATAGGAGCCATTGGTGTTTTCCGGTGCGTGCAGTGCTCACTGAGGCACCCCTCTGCAGCTGGGGTTGGCCGAGGACAGGCTCCCCCGCCGCGAATCCCTGAGGGATGTGGAGCAGACGTGGCCTCGCCTCGCTGGGCTCTCGCAGTTCCGCTGCTTGCACCACGTTTATTTAATTTAAGCTTCAGGCAGCCGTCGTGTGTGCGCTGGCAGTGCTTTTCTAATGCACCGCTGGAGCAGAGGATCCCGTGTGCGAGGGAGAAGCATCAGCTCTGTTTGCTGAGGTTCATGCTGAATCCAGGATGGGCTCACCCCAAATTAGAGACCTTCTCAGCCCCATGAGGTCCTTCCCACAATTGTGCTCTCCCTCTTAGACCACAGACATACCCTGCTGAGCAAGGCCAGCCTGTGAGTGGGAAATGTTTGGCCTCACTTGAATCTGCATTTGTTAAGTTCCTGGATGACACTTGACCGTCTTTGGGATGAGCTAGCTGGCCTGAGTGACATTTGGAGTCCTAGAGATGTCGTTGCATGAGCCCTGTGTCCCTCTGATGACAGAGAGCTCTGCAGGATTAAGCTTTTGCCTTGATGGAGAGCGGGGTGCCCGAGGCAGGGAGGCAGCAGGGTGGCAGAGGCACGTGGGACCTGCCTGATGCCCCTGCAGCCGGGGAGCCCCCGCGTGAATAACCCTGCAGCTGTAAACGCCTGATGCACAAGCAAACCTTTCAACCTGGAGGAAGTATTGCTTTAAACCACAGAGAAATCCCCAGCGGGTGGGAGCTGCGGATTCCTGTCTCGGCTCCAAAGTGCATCCAGTGAGTCCGACGGGGCATTCAGAGAGCACCTGCCCTGCTTTCCTGCCAGGGAAGCAGCCTGGCCGGCTGGAAGCCTGCATCCTGGAGGGGTGGTTACCTAACGCTGGTCGGCTCAGGGCAGCCTCTGTTCCCTGCGGCGGCTCGGGCCAGGAGGAGCCTGCCTTTCTCAGAAGAGCG